TCCCTTTCCTGATCTCGCCGCCTTGACCAGCAAAACTTTTGTGTGTGTCCAGTTTTGTTACAGTAATAACAGATAAAACTCTTAAAGGTATTTTTACCATTTGGTGTAAGACTGGTACTGTTTACTCGAGGACCTGAAACATTATCTGATTGTCTAGGTAAACTTTGAACTCCAGCTGACTTACCTTTTCCTTCTATTTTAGAGGGCACCTCAGCCTTCATTTGTCCCTGAAAATTCTTGTCCCACTTACCTTTATGACCATAGGACTTGGAATAAGGTTTAGAATGAGTGGGGAAATTTTCAGAAGCAGCATGACTGTTTTTACTTACCAGTTCCCTGCGAGCCAAGAATCGGTCACCTAGATCTAGTGCTTCTGAAAGATTATCTGGGTTTTTGTCCTCCAGATACTCTCTGAGGTCAACAGGGATTGTATTGTACAATTCCTCATGAACCATCAGATCTACTAATTTGTTATAGTCTTTATTAACTCCTTTGGAACAAACCCATTTCTTAAAAAGGAACAGTTTCTCATTCCCAAACTCAGTTAAGGTCTGCCCATCCTGAAATTTTTGATTCCTGAACTTTTGTCTATATTTCTCAGGTATCATTTGGTAGGCAAGCAATACTTCCTCTTTAATCTTATCATAATCAGAAAAACTCTTGCCCCTCCCAGAGTCTCTACTCTCTGGAATCCTTTACCCACAAGTTGTGTGCGAACTAGGGTAGCCCACTTCTGTTTGGGCCATCCTTGCTCCAATGCAGTCTTCTCAAAAAAAGAAAAATATCTATCTGGGTCACTCTATGTAAACTTAGGGACAAAATTTGCAGCTTTAGTTATGTTAAAGTACTGCTCAGGCTCTTGTTCTGAACCTCCTAACCTCTGACGTTCTTCCTCCTTAGCTTTCATTAAGTTCATCTGAGCCTCTAGTACCGCTAATTTAAGTCTCATTCTCTCCATTTCCATATCACCTGGAGTAGGTGATCCCTCATGTTCACTGTTAACAGGCATGTTTACTGATGAATTATTACCTTCTTCCCTGAAGCCTAAAAAGTTGAAAGACTCAACTTCTGACATAGTTTTATCTTTAAACACTTGCTTCCTTCTTACAGTATCAGTGGACAAAGTTTTCCCACAGGCACATAAAATAACACAAATTGAATGTAAACTATGCACATAGCACTTACCATAACCACAAAAATGTGTTACTTAACCTTTCTCCCACCTTAGGAGAAAAACAACCTGTAAACTAATATATGAAAACAACACTTCCACTGACACCACCTTGGTAAATCTTCTACCAGAAACATGCAACTGTTATTACCCCATACCAGCACATATAGTTCAAAGAATGTTTTGAGTTATTTTAGCAGTCAAATAACTATCCCGGACAGGCCCCCATATTACGTTGTTTGTCCCTTATTACTTTGATAGTAAGGTTCTCACTACATGTTCTAGTGTGGGGTAGCTTTTTACTTAATGGCCTTATCTGTCTAGGGGTAATACTTACATCATGGCTGATCATCTTGAGTGTCTGATATCCTCTCACCAGCCCTCTTCACAGGTTATGTAAACTACTACTATAAAAATATAACTGTATTCTCAATAGATATGTACAGAATATACAATTACAGCCTCACACTTTAAAAACAAAGATCTACACACTCCATAGCTGTTCTCCCACATGGTGTATCTTATTAACTTTTGTCCTTCTCTCTTCTTGACATAACTCTGGGCTAACCAGTGTTTTGACAAACTTTAGTCACCCTGGGTATGGTGGCCACAACTTAAATTATAAAAACTCACCCCTGGAGCACACATACTGCCCCAAAAGACAGAAGAAGAACCCAGATATCCTGCCAGGTTGAAGGTCAGCCACAGAGAGAGAGAGTCAGAGAGAGGGAGAGAGAGAAAGACTAGCTAAGCTCCTCCCACCAAAACAAAAGACTGTTGCCAAGCACAATTCTCCAGTTACCACAATTCTACCACACCTTAATTTTACTTTTACAAAAAGAAATACAACTTTATAAACTACTTATTTAAATTGTGTTAACGTTAGACGATGCCATCGTTGGTCGAGGATCCACTGTATTACTCTTGCTTTCCATTTGAAATTTTTGTTCACAAAAAAATAGAAGATTTACTGTTATGCAGACTGCTGCATTATTGTAATAATTGTATAAATAATGTCAACCCATTCTTGACTTCGTATTGGAATTTGGACTGGCAGGCGGACAGGTATTGGACGGTGACTTCATTTGTTTGCTCTTGAGATTTGCTAAAGAATAGAACATTTTCGCTACTGTGAGCGCAATTTCAAAGAACTTTTCATCATAAAAGCAATCAAAATCATACCTATTTCTGTAATATATCTTTCGTTCTGTCAAATGAGACCGAAAAAACGAGAATATAACCATAACAACCATGCAAAAATATACCGCTACGTGGCTGCTAATGGCTGAGAAGTGAATTCTGCTGTTTATAGTCTGATTTCTTTCATTTTTGGCGTACGTTAATTAGTATCTTTCCATCATACTTTGCCCAAGTTTCAGTAAGATATCCCAACAAACAATTGAGAAAATAATGATAATAATAATAATAATAATATCTTTATTTACTACATGTACATGTGCAATGTGTGCAGGCCTAGCTGACATCAGTTACATACTACTATATAGAAAGCTGCTTGTTATGCAGAGTATTTCAAGCAAATTAGGTCAGTGTCCCAGGATAACACCCACACCAGTCAACTAACACCCAGGTACCCATTTACTGATGGGTAAACATAGACAACAGGTGTAAAGAAACACGCCCAATGTTTCTACCCTGGCTGGGAATTGAATATTTACCAAAAATCATATATGGCTAACCCAAGCCAGGTACTAGAAATAAGCTACGTTGTCTGACTTTTTTGGGTTATCCTAGGTTCTCTCCACATATGCTGCTGTGTGTGATAATCTATATAGAGAAAATAGCTTTCTTGTTTCAGGTTTATGATGCAGTATGAGACTATATCACAGTTAGCCCTGTGCTACATTCTGTTTTCTCTAATATAAGCCCCAAGACAGGGATAGGAGAATGGTATTATATACCATATCCTCATCATACCTCCATCAAACTGCTCGGTATTATGCTAAATATTATTCATTCTGGAGTATTTAAGATGTTTTATGTTATTTATATTGTTTATATTAGATCAATTTAGAGTAATAATAAAGCATATTCTCCTGCTTCATGAGACTGGGCTCATGGCAACCGACAGTGGCTTCAAAGCCACCTTATCTTTAACCCTTCACTGCTGTCATGTTGATGGCAGTGAAGGGACTTGAGCTAGAGTTTGTCACGGCCATGCTAGCTGGAGATTCGTCTGTAAAAACTTGCATTTGTGGTCACAGTGGTGCCTGTGCTAACCTTCCTATGGTGTGGAAATATACCCAGATGGACGAATCTTATTGTGGCTAGCTGGTCTAGTGGCTAACGCGACGGGCTGGAGTTTTGAGACTCTCTGACCGTGGGTTCAATCCCAACCGGGGTATGGTTTGGTTCCTTGAGGGTTTCGGCCGTACTAGTATGGCTTACAACCCAGGGTTTTTGACGTACTAGTATGCCTAAATTCTAGCGCCCTCAAATCTAGTGGCAGAAAGCTGGTAGGCCTACATATGAAAGAATGGGTCTATGTGGTCAGTGTGCACAGTATAAAATAAATCCTGCAGCACACAGTGCATAATGAGAAAAAAAAACTTTGACCGTTTTTTTTTTTTTTTAATAAAACAGCGACTTTGCACTGTATTTTCGTATGGTATTTATTGTTGTAGTCTAGTTTTCTTGGTCTCATTTTATAGAATGGAAGACATGTTACAGAAATTGAGATGATTTTGGCTCGTTTTACAATGGAAAGTACCTTGAAATTGAGCTCAAAGTAGCAGAAATGTTTGATTTTTTCCAAAGTTCAAAAGTAAACAAATCATGCCAAGTGTCCAATACAAGTCAACTGGTGAGTCTAATATTCTTTTGCAAGTGCGCCAATATTATTTATACCATTTTGTACACTAATGCAGTAGTCTGCATAACAGTAAGTCTTCTATTTTTTGTGAGAATAAAAATTCAAAGTGGAAAGCAAAAGAATATAAGAGGGGTGTGGGGACGTGACTAATGAGCAGAGGAAATGTTATTTTAGTGCCAGGAATGTCTTTCTTGTTTATTCTGGACCCTATTCGGAAATTGGCATCTTTTGAAATTTGTGTGAAATTGGCAAAATTGCTAAATTTTGACCACTGTACTGGATAGTTGGAATTGATAAATGGGTGGTTTCTTGCACTCATTCGATAGAAAAAATGGAGTTCTAGTGAAATATTCATGTTTTTTGTCGATTAGTACAGTGGAATATGCCGAAAATGGGGCTCAAAGTGGGCAAAATCGCTGATGCATAGACATCGCCGAGACCGCTAACTTCGCTAGAGCATAATTCCGTAAGTTTTCCATCAAATTTCAAACTTTTGGTGTCATTATGATCGGGAAAAGATTCTCTATCTTTTCATAAGAGAAAATTATTTTTTTTTTTTTAAATTTGGCCGACCCTGAGAACGAGTCTCGGAGAGAGCCTGTCGACCCTCAGAAGGTTAATGGATAATGTACTGTGTAGGTGCTTTACACAATGAGAAGCATTTCTTTTATTCACTGGAACTATGGCTAGGGCTAAAAGTAAGCAGGTTATAACAAATGGAGAAAAGGAAATTAGAATGTCTTATGCAGCAAGTAGCGCCACCAAACTGTACCAGCAGGTTGATGTGGCGACCCTGAAAATTTGAAATTACCCTAGCCAAAATTAGTGCCACATAACTGAAGGAACCAGATAACTGATTGCCGGATTTGTGATGGCAGACCTGTACATGTTCATCTTCTGTTAATCTTTTTTTTTCTTTTGTAACTTTTGTGTCATCCATATTTTGAATGATTGGTTGAGTCTCACTGAAAATTTATATCTTCACTTCTTGCTTTCCAGATTTTATGTCTGTGGAATACTTCTCCAAAGAGCTGTACACACTTATGGTTACCATGAAAATGGTACCCAAACAGAAGAGTAAGAAGCAAAATTCAGGTCAGAAAACACCACAGAATACACAGGCATTAAGTTACAATGAATTACGGCTCATTCACTTCAAAGCTAACGTGTTGAGAAAAGCTTGTATGATAAAAGCATATATAAATAAGTCTCGACATAAAATGTCATTTCATTTACAATCATCTCAGGTATGGCACCTCGTTTTTCAGTTGGACACACTTGTTAAGCATGTAATGAATTTAACATGTTATGAGGCTTCTGAAGTTATAGAGGGAGTAAACAGTGAACTACAACGTCTGCTGCTACTGCCTTCATTTTGGTACTTTGATAAAGAATACAAAGCAAAGAAGAGTGATCATATGAAAGATGTACATGAGAAACTGTGTGTAATCTTCGATCCTAAAAACAAGTTTACAATTGAACAAGAACACGAGGTCCTCAGCCTCCTAAAACAATGTAATCTTGCTGGTAATTTGATTATCTATGATCAGAGAAGAATTACAAGTGCAATGGGTGTTAAAAATTCACTACAAGGCGTCTGAGTTAAATGCCTATTCAAGAATGGAGAAAGTGTATAAAGCATAATAAATAATCATGACAAAAAATTTATACATGTCACAGTATCATGTGAGTACAATGTAAGCATACTATTTCTTTGATATAATATAATGCAAGGCTAAAATTATCAAGTTTGATACACAAAAGCATCTTTTTCTTTTGATAATAAATACACATAAGATCAAAGAATAATGACAATGAAAGTATGAGTACATGCAACTAAATGTTGACAATCTTGCAGATCTACAAATTAGTACAATCAAAAAACAGTACAGAAATACAAAACATTTTTGTGTTAAATTATAGTTGACATGTTTAATTATACAAGGAATTTTATTTAAAATAGTCTTGCAGTGTAATTTCATATAAGCTTTATAAAAAAGTCATTTGAGGATAGTATTTCTCTAAATATAATGTGGGTGATTAATGATTGTTCACAAGATATTTTCTTAATATACAATGTTTCAACATTGTTTCGCATCCATCTGCCAGTTGAGTGTAATTTCTATCATCTCTGCAGTGTGTGTATGTTCCATCATCTCTTGCCAGTGGTGTGTAATGTTTCCATCTCACCTGCAGTGTGTGTAATTGTTCCACATTTCACCTGCCATTGGTGTGTAATGTTCCATCATCACCAGCCAGTGGTGTGTAATGTTCCATCACCACCTGCCAGTGGTGTAATGTTCCATCATCACCTGCCAGTGTGTGTAATTGTTCCATCACACCTGCCAGTGGTGTGTAATGTTCCATCATCACCTGCCAGTGGTGTGTAATGTTCCATCACCACCTGCCAGTGGTGTGTAATGTTCTATCATCTCTTGCCAGTGGCGTGTAATGTTCCATCATCACCTGCCAGTGGTGTGTAATGTTCCATCATCACCTGCCAGTGGTGTGTAATGTTCCATCACCACCTGCCAGTGGTGTGTAATGTTCCATCATCACCTGCCAGTGGTGTGTAATGTTCCATCATCACCTGCCAGTGATGTGTAATGTTCCATCACCACCTGCCAGTGGTGTGTAATGTTCCATCACCTGCCAGTGGTGTGTAATGTTCCATCATCACCTGCCAGTGGTGTGTAATGTTCCATCATCCACCTGCCAGTGGTGTGTAATGTTCCATCATCACCTGCCAGTGGTGTGTAATGTTCCATCACCACCTGCCAGTGGTGTGTAATGTTCCATCACCACCTGCCAGTGGTGTGTAATGTTCCATCATCACCTGCCAGTGGTGTGTAATGTTCCATCACCACCTGCCAGTGGTGTGTAATGTTCCATCACCACCTGCCAGTTTTGTGTAATGTTCCATCACCACCTGCCAGTGGTGTGTAATGTTCCATCATCACCTGCCAGTGGTGTGTAATGTTCCATCACCTGCCAGTGGTGTGTAATGTTCCATCACCACCTGCCAGTGGTGTGTAATGTTCCATCACCACCTGCCAGTGGTGTTAATGTTCCATCACCACCTGCCAGTGGTGTGTAATGTTCCATCATCACCTGCCAGTGGTGTGTAATGTTCCATCATCACCTGCCAGTGATGTGTAATGTTCCATCACCACCTGCCAGTGGTGTGTAATGTTCCATCATCACCTGCCAGTGGTGTGTAATGTTCCATCATCACCTGCCAGTGGTGTGTAATGTTTCCATCATCACCTGCCAGTGGTGTGTAATGTTCCATCATCACCTGCCAGTGGTGTGTAATGTTCCATCACCACCTACCAGTGGTGTGTAATGTTCCATCACCACCTACCAGTGGTGTGTAATGTTCCATCACCACCTGCCAGTGGTGTGTAATGTTCCATCACCACCTGCCAGTGGTGTGTAATGTTCCATCATCACCTGCAGTGGTGTGTAATGTTCCATCATCACCTGCCAGTGGTGTGTAATGTTCCATCATCACCTGCCAGTGGTGTGTAATGTTCCATCATCACCTGCCAGTGGTGTGTAATGTTCCATCACCACCTGCCAGTGGTGTGTAATGTTCCATCATCACCTGCCAGTGGTGTGTAATGTTCCATCACCACCTGCCAGTGGTGTGTAATGTTCCATCACCACCTGCCAGTGGTGTGTAATGTTCCATCATCACCTGCCAGTGGTGTGTAATGTTCCATCATCACCTGCCAGTGGTGTGTAATGTTCCATCATTACCTGCCAGTGGTGTGTAATGTTCCATCATCACCTGCCAGTGGTGTGTAATGTTCCATCATTACCTGCCAGTGGTGTGTAATGTTCCATCATCACCTGCCAGTGGTGTGTAATGTTCCATCATCACCTGCCAGTGGTGTGTAATGTTCCTTCATCACCTGCCAGTGGTGTGTAATGTTCCATCATCACCTGCCAGTGGTGTGTAATGATGATAGAGTGAACTAGATCTTCTATAATGCATGACGCACTTCTTGTTTTTAATCATAGAAATGATGTGATCTCATTCAAGGGGCTAAATCTAAAAGCACCAGACATACATTCAGAATGCAACTTTATTTGCAATAAAAATATATGTAGTCATGGAACTTTTTGACTGCCCCAGGTGTTTACATACTAACTAACTAACTAATTAACTAACTACTTTTATAGATTTTTGTAATTTAGAAATAATTTTTTATACTTGCATATGTAGTTTTATTATGAGCAGAATTAGTTTGTAATGTTTACTGTAAAAGAATTATAACCATTTTTGCTGTTTTAATATTGATAAAATATGAATGTTTGCAAAATGTTTACCATAAAATATTTAGGAGTATTATATACAGTATACTGTATACAGTATTGTATACAGTATACTATATACAGTGTGCTATATACAGTACTATGTACAGTATACTATATACAGTGTACTATGCAGGTCTCCCTGAACATTCGCGTTTTCAACTTTCGCGAGCTTCACACATTCGTGAATTCCCAACTGCCAAATTTCCTGCCGCCAAATTCCCAGCCGCCAAATCATATTTAAGTTTCCCGCCACCTGCAAGTCCCTACTACCCTCCCTCCGACCCCCGCAACTGGCAGCCAGCCCTCGCACCAGTGTGGTGAGTGTTTTGTTTGTTCATTATTTGCTATTAAACTACAGTATAAATAATGTAAACCCATTCATGACTGCATATTGGAATGGCTATTTGGACAGGTATTGGATGGTGACATCATGTGTTTACTCTTGAACACTGCAAAGAATCAAACATTTCTGCTACTGCTAATAATAACAATAGTAATAATAATAATAATAAATGCGATAGAATTGAAGAAGGAAATTGTACAAAAATACGAGGGAGCGGTTGACACATGGTCAGTGTGGCTTTGTTTATGCTGGAGTGAACATTAGCCTCCCTGCTCTTCCAAACATTTCACAATAATTCATTGTGTTTGGTGCTTGTAGATTGAGTGCGACTGGAGTGGGTGAGGCAGCAGTTGAGGCAGTGGTTGAGGGAGCGGTTGAGGCAATGGTGGAGGCAGCAGTTGAGGCAGTGGTATTTAATAACATGTTATAAATAATAATAAATATTATTAACTATTATTATTATTTTTATTATTATTATTAACATGTTATTAAATACCACTGCCTCAACCACTGCCTCATCTGCTGTCTCACCCACTGCCTCACCCACTGCCTCAACTGCTGTCTCACCCGCTGCCTCAACTGCTGTCTCACCCGCTGCCTCACCTGCTTCCTCAACCACTTCCTCACCCACGTGCCTCAACCACTGCCTCACCCACTGCCTCAACCACTGCCTCGACCCACTGCCTCAACTGCTGCCTCACCCACTGCCTCGCCCACTGCCTCAACCACTGCCTCAACCACTGCCTCACCTGCTGTCTCACCCACTGCCTCACCCACTGCCTCGCCCACTGCCTCAACCGCTTCCTCAACCACTGCCTCTACCACTCCAGTCGCACTCAATCTACAAGCACCAAACACAATGAATTATTGTGAAATGTTTGGAAGAGCACGGAGACTAATGCTCACTCCAGCATAAACAAAGCCACTCTGACTAATGATGTGCCAACCACTCCCTCGCATTTTTGTACAATTTCCTTCTTCAATTCTATCGCATTTATTATTATTATTATTATTATTACTATTGTTATTATTAGCAGTAGCAGAAATGTTTGATTCTTTGCTGTGTTCAAGAGTAAACACATGATGTCACCTTCCAATACCTGTTCAAATAGCCTTTCCAATATGCAGTCATGAATGTGTTGACATTATTTATACTGTAGTTTAATAGCAAATAATGAACAAATAAAACACTCACCACACTGAGTGGTGGGAGGGCTGGCTGCCAGTTGTGGGGTCGGAGGGAGGGTAGTAGAGACTCGCAGTGGTTGGGGAAGTGGTGGAGGCATTGGTGGAGGCAGTGGTGGAGGCATTGGTGGAGGCATTGGTGGAGGCAGTGGTGGAGGCAGTGGTATTTAATAACATACATGTTATTAAACCATAACATGTATGTATTTAGTACAATTTACGACGTTTTCATGCATTTTATGATTATTCATGGTTCAACAAGTTAAGGAAGCAGTATTGTATTATATTTCCCTCCAATATTTTGGGGCACCAAACATTCGTGATTTTTCAACATTCGCGAGGCTCTTGATCCCCTAACCCTCGCAAATGTTGAGGGAGACCTGTATACAGTATTATATACAGTATACTGTGTGCAGTATACTATATACAGTATTATATACAATATTATATACAGTATACTGTGTGCAGTATACTATATACAGTATATATAACAATATTATATACAGTATATTTTTACAGTATTATATACAGTATACTATATACAGTATTATATACAGTATACTATATACAGTATTATATACAGTATACTATATACAGTATTATATACAGTATACTATATACAGTATTATATACAGTATACTATATACAGTATACTATATACAGTATTATATACAGTATACTATATACAGTATTATATACAGTATACTATATACAGTATTATATACAGTATACTATGTACAGTATTATGTA